AATTCCATATGATAACTAAATAGACTCCTCAGAGTAGCAATTTGCATGTTTTATGCAGGAATTATACTTTTCTCCTTTAGCTGTTGAATTTACAATATAAAAATATCTACCATTTATTATTTAACATCGAAAACTGTTTGAAAATAGGATCATTGTTTTCACTTTAGGTCCTCTGATAAAAAGTAGCAAAGTTGTTTCTTAACCAACCCCCAAATCTAAACATTTCTTGTAGGAGGCTTTTCTCTTTCTGATCAAGTATTACATGTAGTTTGTAAATAGGAAAGAAGAGCCATTTATTTCCAATCCCAACTCAACTCTGGGTGTTCCAATGGGCTTTGGGTGAAAAATTGCTGTAAAGAGGGAAGCCACCTGCTAAATTATGCATTTATGCTTCTACTATGAATTTTTGTTTTTGTTATTTCAGAGGTATTGTAATTTTGTTGTTATATATATTTGTATTATTTCTTTTAACTTTGTAAGCTGCCCAGAGTCTCCTGGTGGTGTGACAGGTGGAAAATAAATTTAATTTATAATAAAGGAGTACTAATAGTTTTAATCATCTTATTGGAGAGTGACTTGTGAGGATTCTTTGTGCATTGTAAAACATACGTACAATATTCTAAAGATTTATACATCTATTTGAATTTTTTCCAATCATTGTGTATAAGAAATCCTTTGGGAAATGAAATCTTTTCGTCAAGCTTCAAAATCTTCCTCAGAAAATCTGAATATGTCACGAAAAATTAACTCTATTTAGTTAACATTTTCGTTCCATAACATGCTTCTTGTATCACAATCCACAAGGTATTTTTAGACCCAGTCTTGATCTATATCTGTTCCATACCCTCAAAATGGAACATCTAAGATAATGATTTTAAAAGTCTGAATTAAATTTTACTTTCCCATACCATAAATAGCCTCCACACCCTTTGCCAAGCAGCACTTTTGCTGTCCAAGAGGATGGCTGAAAAAAGTCAGTTTGGATTTTGGGGTGGACCTTTTTCAGCCCGTCCCCAGCGGACAGTGGTCTGAGTCCTTCCTTGCAGGCTTCCTCATTGACTTCCAGGGAAGCCTGCAGAGAAATTGTAAATATTGCTCAGTACATGCAGATTCAGCCATAGTTTCTTTCCATACAGCATTAACCTTGTGAACTCTCAAGCTTCCTCCTTCTGTTTTATATATTCAAGGTGGACAGTATTTAATATTTATTTGTTATGTATATGTAGGGGTGCAGGTCTATACGTATGTTGTATATATGTAGGTGTATGTATATATTTAGGTGTGTGTCATGTATGTGTTTCACTTTGAGAGCGGGCAATTACATTTCATTGTTGATGTGTGCCGTTGTGCCTGCAGTGACACAAAAATGACAATAAAGGTTATCTTATCTTATACCTAAAGTATATTCAAACTCTGTGTCATAGGGTTTGATAATGTATTTTACTGTAAAATGTGGCTTTCTGTCGTGTTTGTACTCAGTACATCCAAACATCTTGAGGGGAAAAGGGACATTCCATCTGTTCAGTTTCTAACATTAAACATGTTTTCAAATGTCTGTTTGGTCCTCCTAAACATATACATGTTTAATAATCTCTCTTGTAAGCCTTTGTCCATTCCTTACACTGATATGCATCCTAAATAACCTTGCTTCCTTCTTGCCAAAAATATTTGTCCAGAAGAAAAATAACTTTCCAACACCCTGTTTGGTTAACATGTTCTGTTCATGAAAAAGAAACATTTCTGGTTGTTAAGTACAAAGTTGATGCTACCAAATTTCTAGAATGATCATAGAAATCAGATGCTCCATTTGAGATATGAATGCATGTTTGACTGTGTTTTTCTGCGTGCGCATCTTTGGGAAGGGCAACTGTTGGGTGCTGAAATCGTCTTGGATACAGGTTTGGGATCTGCATTCCTGGTCTGGGAATCCTGACTAGAGGATGCATTTGTCAGCCTTTTGAGCTAAATTCAGACAAGAAGCACTAGAATGAATACTAGCGCTATTTCTACTGTGAGGCCACAATACAAAATCCTAAAACTCTGCAAATATTTCTTCCCTCCTCTCCTTTTACTCTGAAAAAATTAGGGAGTTTCTTCTGCAATTCTTCCATTGCCCCGTCACC